AGGTATGGGAAGCCTCTCTGCAGCAGCATGACTAATTCAGCCCAGTGGAAATTCCCTTTTTTGTCTCTGGGCTTCTTGGTCCAGTGTCCTTGCTCACTTTCACTCCTCCTCAGTAGGGACTGCAAGCGCATACTTGTTGCTTTCTGTAGGACATCGGCTCAATTAAGGTGGATGATTTTTCTCGTCTACTTCCTCCATGTCGAGGAAAGAGAGAGAGAATACAAAACACAGGAAAACTGAACTTCCCTTACCTTCCATTTCACTCTCACTGCGCGAAACGTTTGTTCAGTTTCCCCTCTGAGTTGTTCCTTTTAATATAGAGTGTTGGTGCAGTGTCCCGGATGTTGGGACCAAGTCCCTTTGGGTCATGTTTTCTTTGCCGATCCTTATACGACTTAATTTTCTCACCCACCCATCGAATGTTTGTGGGTATGTGGACCCCGCGCATGTGTGTGATAGCACAGCAGCCGAAGCAGAATAGCACCCCGACTCAAAACACCTATAGAAAAAAAAACAAACTCTCACACCTCCTACTTCCTCTTTTGGTTTGCACTGTCCTACCGTCGCCTGCTACCCTACTGTTTTCATCATCTGCGTTTGTTTGTTTCGTTACTTTTTGTGAGATGAATTTCAGTAAGTGGACGTCATGGAGAAAACGCAACTTTTTCAGGAGGAAACATAAGGCTGAAATATTCCCTGTCGGTAAGTGCAAGGCTAAAACTGAGCAATTTATCCACTTTAATCTTATGTCCTGACGAGTGCTTGAAGCAAAAACAAGTTTGGTTGACTCAGCTAACTTAATTAGTCAAGTTATCCGAAATGTTTTAACTCAAGACCTGAGTTAGAAAGTTGGATGCTCCCCGGGCCCAACAAAAAAAAGATCATGCATTGCCATGACATTAACACACTGTATACTGCGGTTAAATTTATGATAAAGAACATAAAATACTTCTATTTTACGCCACAAACATGAATAGAAAAATAACCATGATTTGTTGTATCATGTCAAACTGCCTTATGTTACACAACTGCACGTCTACAGTAAAGTAATCATAGTTAGCTTATCAAATTTAGCATACCGGCCCTCCCCCCATGGACACAGCCCCCAGTCCACTTTCAAGCTCTTTATTGAACAAAGGGAACAAATAAACACGAGCAAATATTCCCTCATGACCCGCCGTTCGCCACAACTGACGCCGAGTCACTCAACACAGAGTGGCTAACAATGTAGCCAGGTAGTAAGCTAGGTGAGCCGACCCCTCTCATTTGCGAACTCAGACATCCCTCAAACCTTTCTTTTAGCGCGCCTACTTATCAAGTGAGCACAAGTATGATATAAAATTGACCAGTTGACAGCTTCTAACTTGAAAAACCGGTGGGGGGGCACTCATAAGTCATGGTACTACTATGCAAGGTTAGCGTGTTGTTTCTGAATGCGTAATCTGTCATCCCATCGCTCTTACATGCTGGGGTGGCTCTGAACACTGACTTTATCTGTGTTCATGCCCCCCCCCTTCATCCCGCTGTTCCACCATGCATCATGATTCCCCCACCCTCGGCCTGCTCTGTCCTGTTCTCTTCTGTTGTGCCTCTGCTGCATTCTTCTGGTCCTTCCTTTGCTGTCTGGCTAAGAAACAGTAGAAGGGAGAGCACGCGGGTTGGAATGTTGAAATTTCTTTGAGTCTGTGGCGACTGATTTGAGTGAACTGTGTTTAAAAGATGGCCGAACGTGGGTTCAGACTCCACGGGAGGAACTCTAAGCAAGGTTTTATTTTATTTTATTGCTGTTAGCTTTTGCTGTTTGGGTAATTGCTCCAGTGATTCCATTGTCGCTTTGTTAGTTGGAGCTGAAAAAGTTTCCAGCCTTCTGGGAAGATTTTCGACATATATGTAAGAGTTCTAACGTGGTGCTTGATGAGGTTGAGGTCAGGGCTCTGCAGTTCCTCAGAACTCCTCACAAGGTTGTCTGTGCACAGTGATAACTCTGTAAAGTCGAAGGCGTAATAATATTTACTTATTATGACTTTACTAGTAACTCAGGGTAGGTTTGTGATTAACAAACACATTCCGGCAGCAAATTTGGGTTACGTCGCCGCCGTAAAAAAATGGATCGCACTCGTAAACTGAGCGCACCCATGCACATGCGCGCCAACGCACGCATTTGAGTATGCGTGCACGTGCGGTAACGGTAGATCGCGAAAGTTGTTTGGCTTGAAAAGTAGATCTTCGGTTAAAAAAAAACAAAACAAAAAAAAGGTGGGGCACCCCTGCCCTACGTAAATGTCACAATGGCTCACTGTAGAAAACTGGTGGCATTTCACAAGGCTTGGTACTCAGTCCACATTTTTTTTTCTTTCAAATGTTTTGCGTAGACTATGGTGCCTTCCGACTAAAGTATGAATTTATGATGCTGCCGTAGGAATGTAACGCCATCAGTTTATTGCATGCGTCACCTACTTGGTGTTTTTCAGCGGTTCTCTGGAGATGACGGTTTTGATGATGATGAAAGGTTCTGGCCTTACAAGTTCCCAGATCTTTGGCTAGCCAAAGTATGTCAACAAGGCACGGACGGGCCGGCTGGGACAAGCTGAGACAAGTGACCACTGGAGGGGAGGAGGGAGGAATGCATTTGGGAATTCTGTGAATTCTGTGCATTCTTCGCATCCTACACAGGCAAAAAGGAGAGTTCATGCGGGTTGTTTGGTGAAAGCGCTTTTGTTTCCGGGAGGGGTTAGTTTAGTGACGCACAATGAACAGAAGACTAGAAAGCCCGCCATTGTGTGGACTGTTGACTGTCAAGGTGAAGTTCATCCTGGGCAAGGAGAAAATCTTCCCTTGAAAAATGAGAACTGCATGACCCCCCCCCCCCCCACCTCAGTGGATGGGATGTCTTGGATATCATGTGACCGCGTGGTTAATGGGTTAACTGTGGTCACTGGGAGGCAGGATTTTGTTAAAGCCTCGATTAGGACAATCACTGGGTTGGAACCATGTGAACTTAGGAAGCGTGGCCTGGCTTGTAAATTGCCCTTGTTTGTTCATCCGTGTTTACAATGTGGGGTTGCCGTGGAAACCAGTGTCGTGTGTTTGATTTCCACCTTGGCTCTTCCTGCCCAGAGGTCATGAGATTTGTCCACCTGTGAAATGTGTGTGTGTGTGTGTGTGTGTGTGTGTGTGTGTGCGTGTGTGTGTGTGTGTGTGTGTGTTTCCAGCCAACTGTTTTAGGGTTCCTGTGTGACGTTTTATTTTTTATTTTTGTGGTCCAGTTTGCTCACGGGTGAGCCCCTCACACTCGCAATTCTCTCAGGGTGGATTATGTAACCTATCTTTGAAAAAAAAGAGAACCGCAGAGCAGCAGTGGGACCAATCTAATAGTTTTTATTACAGGAGATCCTTTTGTGTACGAATTGCATTCCTTACAGCGGCGACGTTTTGTTAATTTTTCCCTCGCTAGCAAAGTCTAATTACAGCTAATGTTTGTATGCAAGTCCACTATCCCTAACCTTTTGTGAGCTGTGTACACAAAGACAGAAACATACCCTTTTTGTCATTCCTGTTACTTTTTTATTAATCGATAATCTTGATTTCCACCAACTGACCCAACTTCCTGTCTTTTTTTTCCCCCCCGAGTAGCTGCCAGCATTTGCAAAGCCGCCGCGAATTCTGACGGTAGTATTGAGATGAAAACATTCTAACGGTGTCACGTGCGCAACAAAAAAGTTGCCTCGTCAGCGGAAACGCATTGTTCCGTGTGTACATCCAGTAAACCGAGGCCGCGTGTGTGCCCAGTGAGCCGTGGGAATACACCAGAGGGATTACGTGGCCTCGATGCAATCTCGACTTCCTGTTTGGCCATTGGAGGGGACCAGAGACTTTTGCTGTACACATTGGCAGCACATCGGGGTGACTGTGTCAATCAAAAATTAACTGGCTGGCCCTCGGTGGTTCAACCTTTTTGAAGCATAGTTTTCCAAAACGTTTGGTTTTGGAATCGCCAACCATTTGCCCACTGAAGAGAAGCGCGCCCGGTTATTTTAGCCGTGCTTCTGAATGTTTTCTTAGTCATATAAGTGTCAAAGCTAAGTGGTGCAGTATGTTATTTACAGGCTTGGCTTAAGCACTCGTTTGACTGTACATACAAAATGTAAGCAGCCATAAGTAAAGTGACTAAAGAGGACCTGGGTAATGTCTCTTCAATGTTGTTTACATACCATCCCCATGGGGAAGACTTTTTATGTCTCCACACGACACAATACTACCTTGAGCTTTCCAGCCGTTTGATACTCCAAAACCGGTCAGGAGCAGGCGCGTATGAATTGGCGTTATTGTGTCACGAGGGCGGCAAGATGGAGTTTTCCGGGAGAAAAGTTACGGCGATGAGGTGAAGCAAAGATAACCGTGCCCGAATAGCCATCCTTGGCCTCCACGTGGTATGTTATTTTTCCAGCCAGCCAGCAAGTGGCCACACGGACACAAAGAAGCAGACAACCGCGGGGGCTCGATGATCATAACCTCTGACCTTTTGTTCGGTTCATGGTGTTTTTACGCAGCGGCCCGTGTCACGACGGTGCCACTTAACCACATAGACGCACTCATACACTTTTCTTTTTTCCACCAACCCCCTCTCTTTCCCCGCTCTCCCAATTTTTTTTCTCTCCATCACATATAAAACATAATTAACGTTTTTTTTTTGCACCACATGAATTGTGCATAGGAAGGATTCACTTCAACAGAAGTAAAAGCGCCAATGATTTCCTGATGGAGAATGAGTGGTTATTCACCACTAATGGCAGTTTGGATTTCATCTTCATGTGCGCTTTTATTCCAGGCTGGAGCTTTTATGGCGTGTCATGAATTAGCAAGAGACAGTTGTGGTCATCTTCCTTTTTTTTTTTTTTTTTCCTTCTTAAATATATATTTTTTAAGATCAAGGACCACTAAAATATACCATAATTAACTCCAATGTTAAATAAAAGCCTCTTTTTTTTTCTTGCCCACAGATGAACATGACTTGGTGCAGAAGAAAACATTCACCAAGTGGATAAATGCACAGTTCTCAAAGGTAAAAATTGTACTTTAAGACTTTTTTTTTGTTTATTTGTTTACTCAACACAAGTTAGTTCCTGTAATTCAGGTTATTTTTTTTTTATCTACGATGTGATTTTCTTTTTCATGTTCAGCAGTCCCTTCATAGCATCCATCCATTCATGTTGTGTACCACTTATCCACATGAGGGTCGTGGGCCTTAGCCAGCAATAATTTTTTGGAGCATATTCTGGGCCCTGAGAGTAATCAAGTAGATGTTTTGTTGTGTGTCATCCGACCAGGAGGGTAAAACAGCCATCAAGGACATGTTCTCCGACCTGAGGGATGGGAGGAAGCTGCTTGACCTGTTGGAGGGCCTCACTGGACACGTCCTGGTCAGTTACCCGAGTGTTTAAAAAAAAAAAAAAAAACTCCTAGCCCATTTGTTTAGCGAGTCTTTACCAACCGATGTCGGCATTGTTTTTTTTAGTTCCCGCTCTTGATCCTTCCATTCTAGCTCCCATTTGGGTACCTGCAGCTGCAGAAAAAGCCCGTCTCTCTCTGCGAGTAATACGTTGAATCCCTTCATACCCGAATAACAATAAATCGACAATTCTGTCAGTCAGCGTAGCATCTCATAAAAGATTTGCAGCTGCTGGCAATTCAGGCCCCGGCATTCTTTCCCCGAAGTTCTCAAGCGAAGGCATTGATTCTCCGAGCAAGTAGTAGCTCACATTGTAATGTTGGCTGTGAGTGCTTGCAATTGACAATGTCTATTACCGACCGTCCCATTTGCCATCATTTCCTCTGAATGTATGTGGGATTCTTCCAAGACTTCCTGGGCATTGTGCTCGAATCAATCATCCTTAATTGTGCTGTGATTCTTATTCTTCAGACCAAAGAGCGAGGCTCCACCAGAGTACACGCGCTCAACAACGTCAACAAAGTGCTTCAAGTTCTGCATCAGAACAATGTGAGTGTGCTGCCTTTTTTGGGGGGGCGGGTGAAAGTCGAAAGGGTTCGCACGGATCGCAGCTGTTTTGCTCAACGTGATTTTAGACAGGCGACACTGGGCTCTTTCCAAGCGGGAAAAGACCCAAATTGAAATGAAATGTCCTCCTTCCCTGTCTATGTGGCCTTGAGAGTTCCCAGTTGCCGTTTTTCTGTGAGACATATAAGGACATGGAGCGAGAGATGCAAGCGAAGCGGAAGAATGAAGCTAATTGGAAGCAGAAATGGGATATGAAAGGTGGACTCGGCGGCAGAGCGAGGTGTCACTAAGCTAAACACATGACCTCACGCGCCCCTTGCTTCGTCTTGATCCTGTCCAAATAAGTCCAACGTAGCCTCCCTCTGGCTTCTGCGGCAGTGCCTTGACTTGATTTAATTCTTTTTGCGCTCACACTTCTTTATCGCAAATCATCTTTACCCATTGAAATAAATTTAAACACCATTAATCCGTTCCATATTCTTGTGTTTTTGGAGCATGTTTCCCAATAAAAAAAAGTATCACCCAGTATTGTTTTTCTAAGAACATAGAGTAATGAAATAATTAAATGAAATGTAAAGAATTAAATAGTTTGCGCACACTGATTTCGTGCATTCATAGCATCGGTCCTTGTGGTTTGTGTCCCTTGGCCACAAGGGAGCAGTGTAATAAAGGCATATATCCATCCATCCATCCATCCATTTTCTCATCCGCTTATCCTCACGAAGGTCATAGGCGTGCTGGAGCCTATCCCAGTTGTCTTCAGGCAGTAGGCGGGGTACACCCTGAATTGGTTGCCAGCCAGTCGCAGTGCACACATAGGCGAACAACCATTCGCGCACACACTCACACCGAGGCACAATTCAAGAGTGTTCAATCAGCCAGCCATGCATGTTTTTGGAATGTGGGAGAGAACCAGAGTACCCGGAGAAAACCCACGCAGGCACGGGGAGAACATGTAAACTCCCCACAGGAAAGCTGGAGCCGGAATCGAACCGTGCACCTCGGCACTGCGAGGCGCACGTGCTAATCAGTCGCCCGAAAGGCATATATGTATACACAAAAACAAGATGGTCACAACTGCTCAGTAAGATGCAGTTAGATTCCTTGTTTTTAACTTGCATTATTTGTGTTGAAAAATGTGTAACCCTACCGTGACATCAGTGCTAGTTTTGTTAGCCTGTTTGTACTGTTTTGAATTGTGTGTTAGCATTAAGCTAGCAGACTTGTCAGATCATGTTCTATTGTTTTCGGCTTTGTTTCGAGTCATACCCCGAATTATATTTATAACCCGTAACCCTATCACGAATCATATCTGTCCCCAAATAATAATTGCCGTTTGTCTGGATCGTCAGGTGGATCTGGTAAATATTGGCGGAACCGACATTGTTGATGGGAACCACAAGCTCACTTTGGGACTCATCTGGAGCATTATTCTTCACTGGCAGGTGAGCACAGGCGTTCAAAACCTGAATGTGGACCTACACTGTCGGGTCTGGAACACACCCCGGAGATTAATGCGGGGGTCATTTTATATGATAGTTGACGGATTTCAATAGTGGATGCCATCTGACATGTAAATTTTATGTGATTCATCTTGATCATGTGCGCAGGTGAAAGACATCATGAAAGATGTCATGTCCAGCCTGCAGCAGACGAACAGCGAGAAGATCTTGCTGAGCTGGGTACGCCAGTCCACCCGCGCTTACCCGGAGGTCAACGTGCTGAACTTCACCACCAGCTGGGCCGACGGTCTGGCTCTTAACGCCATCCTGCACCACTTCAGGTGAGGAGCACGCCCCTCAATTGCCGTCATGACAACTTCATCCACCTGGTTCCCGCTTAGTGCTGGCGATATAGAACAGTATTTGGGAACAGCGTTTGGGATTTTTTATTTTTTTTTTAAATAATTTTTTTTTTATTTTGTTTTGACCCTTTATTTATTTTTTTTAATTCAGATAGTTTGAAAATTTAGAGCATGCTTATTTTTTTTGTTTTTATTTATTTTATTTATTTGTTTCAAAAATGCCTCAGGGGTATTCGTTAGCCCACCCCTCCTCGTTCTGTAACCCTTGTCCTTAACTGTTGCACACACACTCTGGGGACATTTGAGTTGTGAGAAAGCCTAGTGTTGGTTTAGACTCGGGCCAGGGTTGATGTGGATCACTGATCCCGTACATTCCACACTCCACTCACCTCCCCCAACATCGTCTTTTCTCTTAGGATAGCATTCACTCCATACTGTAAATCCGGTCCATATTGATATATTGTGTGTATGTGGGGAACTACTTGGATCCTAAATTTGTATTGATTTGCCATTTCATATGGAGGCCAAATGCATTCAGTTGGGATGGTGTTGTCCAAATGAGGCCTGTTGAGCGTCTGGAGCATGCCTTCACTGTAGCCAAAGACCAGCTGGCTATCGAGAGGCTACTGGATCCTGAAGGTGAGCCCATTCCACTCTTCAAGCGTTTCTTACAAAATACCCCACCTGTGGTTTTTCTTCCATTTTCACATCACGTCACCTGTTCTCTTCCAGACGTGGCTGTGCAGTTACCAGATAAGAAATCCATCCTCCTGTACGTGACGTCGCTGTTCGCGGCGCTACCCAAAGACGTCAACATGGAGTCCATCCGAGAAGTGGAGACGCTGCCGCGCAGATTCAAAGTGGAGGCCGAAGATTCGTGTCCGGGCCTCAGTGCACAGGTAACGCCAGACAACAAAGCGTGTTGTTTTAAGACTTTTACACACTTTAGTGTTCCCCGGGTGTAGCATGCCCAGACTGTATCGCATATTTTTCAGCTATGTTTTTTTAAATTTTTTTTTTTACGAGTTGTAGAGTAGTGTTTACAAGTCCTAATATGCTGCAAGCTGCCAGGCAACACTGAGGCCCCCTCGAAGAGATGCAGCATAATTTAAGGTTGAAATGTGTTAAAAGTGTGTAGCAGAGGTAAAATGGTAAGAAAAAGTTTTGAGTGGGTCTGGAACGTATCCCCCCACCATAAATGGGGGCTCAACGTACTGTGCTCACATTGTCACATCTGTGGTGTTGTCAGAAAACTCCCAAAAGCACCTCTTAAGTTTTATTCATTGCTTCTGGCCTCACATTTCACACCTTGGAAGGAGCGATGGAAAACTTTAGCGCATCTGATTGGCCTGGTGTGTGTGTGTGGTGGGAGGGGAGGGGGGGGGTTACTTTCCTGGCACGCTTCCTCCCGCCACAGGAAGTGATGTTTAATGCCGCTGCTTTTGTAGCCATACGGGGGATGCAGAATAGAGGTTCTTTGTTTGGAATGGTGCCCTCCCCCCCATTTTTTTGATGCAGGGCATTGCCTTGTGACTTCATGCAAAAGATTTTTCCGGATTTGTGACATTTTGGAAGCGTAGTCATTGCATGTGAACAAGTGATTCATTCTTCACTTTGACAACCAGAAAAATGTCTACCATGGATTTCATTGTTGAGTGACCGACACTTTTTGCATCTAGAGTGTCGTCTCGTTGCGACTGAGCCAGACCGATTGCGGCTTGACCTGCCCTGCAAGTCGGCAGCCACCTCCCAGCGTCCCATAATAGGCCTGCATACTTCTTATTCCTAACTGTAGGGCAGGTCGCGTCGCATGCCTCAGAGCAGTCACTTCCAGCCTCTCCCTCCTTTCAACCGATGCTTCTATTTTAAAATGCAGTAGTAGCTGATTAGACACCATTGCCATACGAGAAACACAAGTCGACTAAAAAGTGAGCTTTTTGTAAAAAATATATACATAAAATCATCCTCTCAGTCCCACTGGCCACTTAATTGTAATTGAACAAAAAACAAAACAAAATAGTGGCTTGTATATGAAAAAAATCTCAATCAGTTCAAAGGTGATTCTTATGAATGGGTCCTCATATTTCTCACAATATGCAGCTGAGGGACTCTGGCAGCAACCCCCGGCCAGAGACCCCTGACACCCTGTCGGAGCTCGAAGGGGAGATGGAGGGCGGCATGCTGGAAGCCGACTTAGACACCTACCAGACCACCCTGGAGGAGGTCTTGACCTGGCTGCTGTCAGCCGAGGATACCCTGCAGATCCAGGACGAGGTGTTGGATGACGTGGAGGGTGTCAAAGAGCAATTTCACACGCACGAGGTGAGAGGGGACGCGAAAGGGGCATCACTTAGGTGGGGTCTCTCTTTTCGCAGACGTCTGGGATAAGTAGAAAGCTCAAAGGCTAGTTATCTTGATCCTGTTGAATTCAACTTGTAAATAACGTTAAAACTGTTTTTCACCATTACAGTTCTCCTGATATTTCTGGGTGTGGCTTAAATTAACCTGCCCCTCCCCCCCCACGATATTTCACGGATCAGTGTGTATCCGGCGCAGTTGTGACGTGCAGTTAGCGAGCTAACTAACTTAACCAGCTTAGTTAGCTCACCCTTAGTGTGCACATCTCATGGCGAGAAGGCAGAAGAAGGAGGTAAAATAACTTCCACCATGACAGCAAAGCATGCAGAAGTGTTTGTGCTGTTTGGGTTTTTAGAGCGCCTCGTTGTTGGTTGTAAGTGTGTGTATGACAATGGGAGGGGGGATTGTCATCTGTTTATTTGGGCATATGCTCCAGCTGGCCCTTGATGTTGAACAAAATAAGCGGTACTGTATTAAAAAAAAAATTCCTCAACAAAATGGTACCGAATAATGCTGCGCTACTTGACTGTAATTTTAGTACCGCAAACTAAATTGCATCTTGTTCTGAACCACACACCAAAACTTCGAAAAGGACATTTTCATGACTATTTGACTATTCAAACTTGTCATTAAACTCGTCAAGTCTAACACTGCTCTCGGGCCTGTCAGCAACGAGTTCATTTCCCTGGCAAATTGTGACCGTTTGACTCTTGTCAACTTCGTAAGGACTTCATGATGGAGCTGACGGCTCACCAGAGCAGCGTGGGCAACGTCCTGCAAGCCGGCAATCAACTCATCGCCCAGGGCAGCTTGTCAGAAGAGGTGGAAGATGAAATACGGGAGCAGATGAGCCTGCTGAATTCCCGCTGGGAGAGCCTACGCGTAGCCAGCATGGACCGCCAAGCCAGGTAAAACGTCACCATTTGAAGCCGTTTTTAACGATTAGCGTACATGCGCCGCGGGATAGAGGTCATGGGTCTGAGCTCTGACCTCAGATGTTTATGGCTTTCATCTGTGAGGAATGTGCAAGGCTGCAAGCAATGTGACGGTGACAACTGATAAGCAGTGAGCCCCCCGTTCCCCTCCCCTTCCCCAAGGCTTGCAGCAGTCAGTCTGTTATGAACGTGTCAAATGTTTCAAAGACACACACTCACCTTTTTCTTGCCTTTTTTTAAAAAATGTTTTTTAGGCTCCACGAAGTCCTGATGGAGCTCCAGCAGCAGCAACTCCAGCAGCTTTCTGATTGGCTGACGCGCACAGAAGACCGCATCAGAAAGATCGAGACCGAGAGGCCGGCAAAAGACATTGACGACTATAAGCAACGAATCGAGCAGCATAAAGTAAAAGACACTTTTTTTTACACACGTGGATTTGATTGTCAGACATGAATGAAGATCATTGCTGAAAACCTGCACACTTTAGCTCTACTTTGATCAACTGTCTTACTAGTGAGGACAATTTTTTTTTCTCCTCTCAGGAGCTTCAGAATGACCTGGAGGCTGAGCAGGTGAAGGTCAACTCCTTAACGCACATGGTGGTGGTTGTGGATGAGAACAGTGGCGAGAGCGCCACTGCCGCCCTGGAAGAGCAGCTCCAAGTAAGTCAACCTGAGACTTCTGCTGTCAGGTGTCGAAAAAGTGTCAGCCAGATTTGAATGCAGCCTCACTTCACGAATGCTTTTTTTCAGTCTTTGGGCGAACGCTGGGCAGCCGTTTGTCGCTGGACAGAGGAGAGGTGGCACAAGTTACAGGAAGTCTTCCTGGTGTGGCAGCAGCTGGTGTCGGATCAGGTAGAACACAATTTCTATTTCACATTGTTTCCAAACATTTCTGCGCCAAGGCACATATTTCCATGAAAAAAAAAAAACACGATGGGCAAACACTGCGGTAATGTGCATTTTAAACACAGTTGTCGACTCAAGGACCATATCTGCTTTCACTTCTGCAGAGTTTATTCAGAGCATGGTTGGAAGAAAGAGAAGAGGCCTTGAGTGAAGTGCAGAGAAGCAGTTTTAAGAATCCGAGCGAAATCAACGCAAAAGCGCGGCAATTAGCTGTAAGTAGAGAGGGAGCTCTTTGCCGGAGGCCACCTGCGGGTTCACCCGGCTGTCCCTTGTGATTGCCGTGTTCTGAAAACGTTTAGATTCTCAAAGAGGATATGGAAAAGAAGAAGAGGACCCTCGACCAACTTTCCGACGCGGGCCGGGATGTGATGTCGTTAATACGGAGCGGCGAGGCCGCCGCTACCATTGAGGCGGACGCTGAAGATTTGGCCCATCGATGGGACAAGCTGGTGCAAAGGCTGGAGGACTGCTCCTTCCAGGTGGACTGAACATTTATTTGCATTAAGTATGGTGGTTCCTTGAGAGGATTGAACCATCTTCACAAGTGTTTTGATTATCTTTTTGGTGTGACTTGCGAGCCGCCACAACCCCTACCAAAAAAAATAATCTATTGGTTACATATTGACCAATGCAAAAGCAAAATTAGCTCTTACTCACAAATGGACTCACTCTCTACTAAGGTGATGGAAGCTGTGACTGATGCCGGGATGACTCAGGTAGATGAAACGGTCGTCATGACGACAATCGCCGCCGGTAATTCGGCCACCGACCAGGAACTCGCCCCTCCCGCTCCTCCCAAGAAACGACTGGTGGAGACGGACATTGAAGTCAGGAGGGCGTAAGTGCTCGAGAATTGGTTTTAACTTTGGTTGATTTGATTGATTTGTCAGAAAGTCATGCCGGACCAGCTGCAACAATGCATATGTGATGTAGATGTATGGTATAAACTGAGTACAGGTTGTGGTAGGTGATTTAAAGTGTGTTTTGTGATTCTGAGACCTGTTGCCCAAATATGGCAGGTATGAAAATAAACTTTCCGACCATCTGAGCTGGATCAAAAATTGGAAGGCGGCCGCGCAAACGATAGCCTCCGCGCAACCGGACACGGCAACCGATCCGCAGGATGTGCAGGAAAAGCTCAAGGTTGGAGGAGGCAGACTGCAAGATTAGATTATGACATATTGGAACGTGGCAGTTAAACATGTGCTTTGGGCTTTTTTTAGGCTCACGAGGTGGAACTCCAAGCAAAGGAGGCTGTCATCGGTCAAGTGATCCAGGAAGGTCAAGGCTTGATGGAGCAATTGGAGAGAGGTATTGTGATGAGGCTGTCACTTTCAACAGATCAATACGGAATTTGTACCCTTCAACATCTTTGCCTGACAGCTTCAAAGGAGTGCAGAGGGTCCAGAGCAAAATCTCTTGAAAAAAATCAATTAAATTGATTTGCCCTCCCCAGACTGTCTCATCTTCTGTCACACTTCTTTCATGCCATTCCGGTGGAGTTTGATCTCCAGTTTATGACGATTTGATTGCCATTTTCAAAAGAACATCAGAACGTGTAAACATAAAAGAACATCCAAAATAAATGTATTTGCTTTAATTTGATGTTCACATTTTCAGTTCTGTTTTTATATACTGCAGGTAGATTTTTTTTTTTAGGTTTAATGCATACTCCATTTTGAGCAGACTTTTGTTGTTTTCAAATTTTATCTATTCTATATTGCCTCACAGTTGTGGTGTTATAGTGCTTTTTTTTCAGGAGCACAAAGACGCTTAAAATTGTGTCAATTGACTTATTTTACTGTTTTTCCTGTGCGCCTTCAGAGGGCGTGCAAACGGACTCCGTGCGGGCGGACGTAGATCTGATCCAGACCGAATTGGATGCATGCGCGAAGGAGCTGCAGGCGACCCGCGACAGAGTGGACGCCCAGACTCGATTGAAGGCGCTGTCGGCTGAGCTCGCAGGACTGGATCGGGCCTTGGATGAACTGGATGGATGGCTGGACTCCACTTGCGCCGTTGAAAAGTGTGACAGCAACCAACTCAGGAGCCTGGGTGAAGAATGTCAGGTACAGGACACCTCTGTTTTTCATGCGGGATATGTTTTTAGGGTCCACTTGCCATTTGTAATAATAATAGTAATAATAACAACCCTGAATCCAAGTTTCATGACCCTTTTGTGTGCATGTGTGTGTCCCTTTAGTCCCGACTGGTCCCTCTCAGTGCATTGGGTACACAGTTGGAACAGATTCGTGCAGATGTGGAGTCGCTGCCTTCTTTAAAAGAAAACGCCATGGGGGTGTCGGCACATCACGCCTCCGCTTTAAAGCGACTCGAGGGCAAACAGCAGGAGGCCAGCCAAGGTACCCCCCCCCCCCCCCCCCCCCCACGCATGTCACATTCGAACTGCCACGCGTTACAACATGAAATCAGCCACTAATGTTATATAAAAGGTGAAAATATAACACAAGCTCACGAGAGAAGCTCACGTAGCAGTCTGCATCTTGACTGTGTGCTCATTCATAAGATAAATTAGTCTGATCCAAATCAGTGCTACCAGGAACTTTGCAAAATGAAACCAGTAAAAATGAATTAAAATTCACGAATGAACTAAGGGATCTATGCTAATCCCCGATTGATTTCTTCATCGATGAAGTCTTTTCAAACAGCAGGGATTTCATTCCCAAACAATATGGTTCTTGTTTTGACGTACAGTATAGCACCGAATCCTGTAATTGATTGCCAGACTGCTGACATTTGGCAGAATCCCCAAACGAAAGAAAGAAAACTTTCAAAAGCGCAGCATGTGTTTCAGTGTGACGTCCCGTAAATGATAGGCTCCACTACATTGATTTTGTAAGGTGAGACCCGGAGACCTCAGGCCCAGGTGTGTGCTTGCATTCTTCTTCTGCGCTCAAGTAAAGAGAATTGGATAAGAGCCACGGAAAATCTGTTCTCTTTTTGCTCTGGATTTTTTTTGTCCCTCGTTGGCTCCGTCCTCGCTCTGTGTAGGGTGCATCTGGAGAATATTCACATTGCTTCACTTTGTTTTGAACAATGTTACAACCCCTTTCCAAAATAGATTGAATCCCCAATACATAAGAATTTGAGCGCCTTTGTTCACGTCCTTGCTTGGCACAATTCCGGCGCGACTGCTTCATGGCTGCGCTGCATGTAAACACTGTCACATAATTCAAGTATGAAATCATCAGCTAATGACTCGGTAAGGAGGAAGACAAGTTGTGAAGACAAACAAGAAGGGAAAAGGAATGTCATCATTTCAAATAGTAGGGAGGGTTGTGTTTTATGTTGTCTCCTTAGCAGCGTAATGATGGCCTGTGTTAAATATACAAGCTGTCAAACATAAAATAGGATGGGAAACCTCACCCGTGCACGCTACTCAAAACGTCTCGCTGCCCCCGTGTGGTGGAAAAGCAGAAATGTGCATCTCCACGCCTTCATCTAATTTCTAGTTCTGGAAGCCATCAAGGCTCGATCTCTTCTGGTGGAGGGGCTGGAGACCAGGCTGGCCGCACTGAGACGAGGAGTCAGCGACGTTGCAACCGCTGAGGCGGCGGTGCAGCGAGCACAGGTGGGTAAAGTTGAAATTGAGCAATTTTAACATGTGCTCTTTATCCCCCCCAAAAATGCTGCCGTTCTTATTGTGATTTATTACAACGACGTTTATGCAAAGGCTACATAGGTTAGAGATTAGCAGAACATCTGGCTTGTTTGAATGAATGTTCACATTATGACCAAGGTGACAGTGTTACACAAAATGTATGCCAGCTGCTATGCACTGCAAGCTTTTTTCAGTCTCACCATATGCTGAATTTGGAGGGTTATAGTTTCAAATTGGCCCAAATTCGAACAGGATTAGCGGTAACATGGAGGAAGGGGAACGAGGCAGGGAAGTTTTTTTTTTTTTTTTTCCCCCCTCCAAGTTAGAAACTATATAATTGGCAGTTATTTGTTTTCACATTTGCACTCAAATTTCAGTCTGTACACTTCTTCTTTGTGGATAGGATAATCTCTCTTTTTTAAATTTTACATAAATTTTTTTTTTAACCCCCCTTCCCTTGTTATCCTGCATTGGAATGCGGCTCAGTCTGAGCTCTTGTTATGGCGGCGGTGGCAGCGAGGTGGGGGTTGGTGTCCCATTCTGGGCACCGTGTACTGACATGCAACACGCGTGTCAGTGTCAAAGAAACACAACAATATCAAGTCACATGACAGAACACAGAGTGTCTTAAGGCAAAGTGATAAGCTTCAGAAGTTTAAAATTCCAGATAAAATTATTGAAAGTAATGACAAATTGACTTTTTAATGGCTTGTATGCAAATAGTTGGGGCTCTGGTATACGTGAAATTAAAGAACCATATTAAACTTATGGAAAGCAGGCAAACTGCAGCAAAACAATGTGCTGTTAAGTTAATTATTGAAACTTTTTTTCCCCTCTAGGGTTTGTGTCTGGATATTGAACAAACACAGAAAGCCTCCCATCCTGCTGAACAGCAAAGATGGACTCAGCTATCCACCAAGGCCCGGGAGGAGTTGGCAACACTCAAGTGCATCCTGGGAAGCATGAAGGATAATCAGGTAGAAGAGCACATCTTTTTATTTTTATTTTTTATTACAGTGAGCCCTCGTTTATTGCATTGTTTTCCAGACCCACCTGCGATGGACCTACAAGCCATGTAAAAAAAAACACTGTTTTTTAAATAGTTGTATCCCTATCATAAGCAACAGGTTTGGTCTTACTAAATACACAAATATAAGAGTCACGGTGTGCTTGTTTCAAGGTGTTTATTTTCCATTCCCAGTTTGGGTTTACTGTAATTACACACAGGCATATATTCTTTGTCCTCTCGAAGGAACAACTAATATTACTCGGATTACGCTGCATCACTTCCAGTGTTATTTTGCTGCAGGCATCTTACTCTAAATTCAAACTTGCCTGTCGACTGCAAAAGGCCATTAAAAAAAGAACACGGTCGCTTCATAAAAGAGGGGCTTCCTGTTGTGGTAATATTGTACAATCCTATCATAATGTTGCCTTCAGGTGCGGATGGCGGAGGTTGAACGCTGGTTGGAGGCGGTTCAGGAGCTTTTGTCCCGAGATGCGACAAGGTCGACTGACACACACAGCTTACAGGAAGAATTGAGTCACTGCAAGGTCAGAAGAACACACTCGTTGCGCTGACACAATATGAGGAACACAGATCCACTGCATGTTACTAATGTCAGGCCACTAATATGCATACGGTTAAATAAGACATATCTGACAGTGTCAATAGAAAGTAAACTTGGTTGCAGGATTATGTGAACGAGATGGAGTCCGTGCAGGGTGCGTTGAAGCAGATGGACGAGAACGTCAGCGCCGTGCAGGCGGCTGCGGTGCCAGGGCTGGCCAAGTGGGGGCAGCATATGGTGGGAGAGTTCAGAAGTCGATTGGAATCACTTTCGAAACAGGTAGAAACTTTTTACTTACAGTTGGGCCATAAATTGGTCGAGTTGCTGACCTTCCGAATTTGTTTGTAATATCAACTTACATCTGTTTTGCAGTTGCTGAGCCAGCAGGATCGTTTATTAGAAAGTCAGGAGAAGCAGGTGAACCTGAAGAAAGACTTGGCGGAGATGCAGGAGTGGATCGCTCAAGTGGATGAGGAGTTCTTAATGAGGGACTTTGAGTATATGAGTCCGGAGGAGCTCGAGACGGCGCTGGATGAAATGAAGGTGACATTTCTTTCGCGTGCAGGGAAAACCTGTTTATCACGGGGTAGACGTTACGGACGCTTCCGTGTTAGTGAAAAAATGCGGAAAAACCCCCAACATGCTGTGACTCTCAATTCAGAGGGCTAAAGAGGACGTGCTACAGAAGGAGGTGAAAGTGAAGATCCTGAAAGACAGCATCAACATGTTGGTATCCAAGACGGCACCCCCTGGTGGTGTTGGAGCCGGAGGAAGTGGTGGGCAGGGTCTGACAGCACAACTGGAGGGCGTTCTGGGGAATTACCAGAAGCTCTGCGACCGCCTCAAGAGCAAGTGCCACACCCTGGAGGTAAATCTGCACTCTGGTTGGGAATCACTGAAATAGTACATATAACGTTACGTGTAATGCAGGAGGTGTGGTCGTGTTGGATGGAGCTGATGCAGTTCTTGGACATTGAGCAAACCTGGCTCAACACCTTGGAGGAGAAGGTCCAAGCCACGGAAAGTCTACCAGAGAGCACAGAGGTGGTTCATGAAGCACTCGAGGTACAAACATCTCGTGGACGCGCTCGCATTGTCATCCGTTTTCCTCATTTGTGTCTTATGACTCAGATGAAGATCTCATGGTCACAAAATATCACCGGTATAACCCATGTCATGAAGACATAAAAGACATTTCACAACACCTGTGCATATATTAGTCAGATAAAGAATTTGTATGCCAATGATGTTGACTGTCTATATTGTGCTGCACATTTTGTAGTCTTCCACAGTGCACTATCCAAACATGCCTTAATGACTAGAAGAGCAGAGAATTGTCCAAAATGTCTCGGTCTGTGTGTCCCAAGACTTTTGTCTTCCTGGTGTCAACTCTCGCAGAGAGAGCCTAGCTCCCAGCCTGTGTCTGGCTGGTTGCTATATCTGTAGCCTGCCCGCAGCATCACTGTCAAAGTCACTTAGCATCACACTGTGCTTCACCCTCTACTACTGCTGCATTGTTCAAAAACGTAATGAAGTCTCTTGAAGACAATGATCCTCCCACACACGCAAAACAGTCCACTCAAAGATCTCACATAAAGGATGAACCCCCGATTGTCTCTCACTTCTTTATTTAATTGCTAGCTTTCTCACTGGCTTTCTCACTCTCTCGACTTGCGCGTCCAATCACCTGCCAGAGCTTGGAGGGCGTGCTCCGTCATCCGGCGGACAACCGGACGCAAATCCGAGAGCTTGGTCAGACGCTGATCGATGGCGGCATCCTGGATGAGCTCATCGGTGAGAAACTCCAGGCCTTCAATTCCCGCTATGAGCAACTAAACCAACAGGTGAGTTTTATTTTTTTTTAGCTTTATACAGTATAGGCATACAACACTACATTTTTATATATGTTTAACGGAGAGCATATGCACCGTATTGTATAAAAGCACAACGCTAACATAGAACCTCATTAGGGCAAGCTTAATAGAAAGTTAATCCATGGATGTTGTTCCTACCATAATGAACCATATTGAAATTAAATATTGTTTTCAGGCTGTCAACAGACAGACGGGCCTGGAGCAGCAGCTCGCCACACTGAAGGAGAATGATGAGGCACTCCAAACCCTCCAGGAGTCTCTTTCTCAACTGGACCGCACACTCACCTCCTACCTGACCGACCGCATCGACGCCTTCCAGCTTCCGCACGAGGCACAGGTACGCCGTGCAAAGTTCTGACGTTTCTCACCACATTGAAAATGCAATATTTGAAGAAACTGGGCGTGAATGCGAAAGCTGAGCTCAAGCTGAGTGCAACGAATTGATTTGTTACAACGTAGAATAAAATGAGAGTTGAAGATGGACAAGTTTGAATTTGAATACATTTTTTTCCAGGACATTGGTGCTGAGATTGCGACCCATGAAGTGACGGTGGAGGAGATGCGAAGGAGGAACGTGGCCAACTTGCCGCCACCGGTCACGGATGGCAAAGCTGCCAAAGGTGGCACCATGCTGGATCAACTTCAGGTAACAATGAGCCCTCCTGACGCTGCTGGCTTTTGTCACACCATATATATATTTTTTTATTCCTTCAAGTGAGGCTCAAATCTACGGTGGTAGTTTCTCATGTGCTCAGCAATTTGTGTATATGGGAAAAAAAAAATGGCAGTAACTACTCACTTTAAAATTCATCCCAAAAATGTCTTCCATTCATTTCCTAATGCAGAGAAAACTTCGAGAGATATCCACAAAGTACCAGCTGTTCCAGAAGCCTGCTAACTTTGAGCAGCGCATGTTGGACTGCAAGAAGGTTCTCGACGGAGCCAAGGCCGAGCTGCACGTTCTGGATGTCAGGGATTTGGAGCCGGAGAAGATCCAGTCCCATCTCAACGGCTGCATGGTGAGACAGGAATTCGTACTACTTTTTGTACAGCGGGACTCTGAAATATTCAACTTGTAAGTCAAGGTCACTGTTCATTATGCAGGTTGTTTCCCCGTACTGATTTCCCTTTTCTCGTGATTGTGCAGAAACTGTACAAGCTGCTGAGTGAGGTGAAACTGGAGGTGGAGACGGTGATAAAAACGGGTCGGCAGATTGTGCAGAAACAACAGACGGAGAACCCCAAGGCCATGGACGAGCAGCTGACCGCTCTCAAACTGCTTTACAATGACCTGGGGGCGCAGGTACAGTGAAACCCTTGTGTTCCATATAAACCCCTCGAGGTGAAAATCCACAACATAGAGACATCATGTACATTTAATAAAAAAATAGCTTCATACTGACATAGAAGGAAAATGGTTTAATATAAGGCATTAAAGGTTGAATGTGTGTTTTCTTTCTTTCTTGTAGGTAACAGAGGGCAAGCAAGACTTGGAAAAAGCCTTGTCTCTGTCGCAGAAGTTCCACAAGGAAAGCGCCGCCCTCCAAGAGTGGCTGACCACCAGCGAGGCTGCACTCCAGCAGAAGAACAACAGCGGTGACATGCCGGCAGACATCGATGCTGAGATTGGCTGGGCGAATGTGAGGACAAATTATTCTTATTATTTTTATTATTACGGCATTATGAATCTTTTTTTTGAGAAGTTGTAGTCAATATATAGCAAATCTCAGGTCATATAATCTAAGGTCAATTAATTTAATTAGTCTCTGCAACCTAGTCTTTCCACACTTGGCCAGTAGGGTGCACCCTAAGCCAGTTGGACGCTTAGAAGAACTTCTTCCTTCCTTTACCACTGGTGTTATCTCTCTAAATACAGATACAGCTTTTGTAACTATCATAAAACACGAAACTGCTCTTTGTGGCATCACCAGGGCCTTTTGAAGGAGTCTGAACGCCGCCAGCAGGAGCTGTCCAGTTTGATGGAGACAAGCAGCGGGCTGCAGACGCTGGTGGAGGGCAGCGAGACACAGCTGGAGGACAAACTCTGCGGCCTGAATGAGTCCTGGAACCAAGTCCACACGTGGATCGAGGACTGGCTCAGTGCTGTGCTGGTGGGTGCAACAGTATTGAAAAAGAAAAATAGGGGGAGGTGCCATAGTATGACGCCAAATTGAGCCGCCTTGTGATCACAAATTTACAATGATTTAAAGTTAATTGGGACAAATGTATCATAGATCATGAGCCCCATGCTGCTTCACCAAGCTTATCTGTTATTGCAGAGCCACCAGAGCGAGGTGGAAATTCTTGACGAGAACCTGGCTCACATCAGCACGTGGCTCTACCAGACTCAGATTCACCTGGACGAGGCGGAACGGCTAGAGTCGGCCGAGCGGGAGAAGGTGGTCAAGGTGATACAGTCATTTAAATATCTATGACATGGCGGCAGCGCAAGCGACGAACTGCAATATATTAGTGTTTAACCATTGTGTGCTGTGTCATCAGAACATGCTGGAGGAGTTGGAGGACGTCGGGATGCGCGTGGACAACGTGAGGGACCAGGCTGTCATCCTGATGACCAGCCGGGGAACCGCCTGCCGAGACGTGGTGGAGCCCAAACTGGCCGAGCTCAACTGCAACTTTGACAAAGTCTCGCAGCACATCAAAACTGCTCAGGTATAAAGAAAACCCCCCAAAAAACCCACTCAATATCATGTACACCTCATACCATGGCCAGCACATGCAGTGAATTTGGATCGGATTCCTGATTTATTATCAACTTCACTGGTTCCACTGCATTCTTTATTGTCATTGCATAATTCTCGATGTTTAATTTAGTGGAAGCTTTCAGGAAATTTACTGGAAATGTCCACCCTTCTGCAACAATAGTTTGAAGTCCGTGTTAGGATATTAAAAATGTGTGTTCTTGCGCAGATGATGACCAGTTTGGAGTCGGGAGGCGTGGACATAAAGCAGGAAGCACCTCAGCAGGTTCAGTGATTACACACACTACGCTACTCTATATAAATAAACTCAAAGTTGTGAAAGAAACATCTCACTGCGATTTTAGTTGAAGTTACATTGGCCAGCAGATTGTAATTTGCATTGAAAATCAGAAGCCATCCTCAGATTTAGCTTTTTCTTTAGCACGTACTTCAGAACCTGGAGACCTCGGTGGAAACTCAGACTGAAGCTCCGCTACCCAGCGAGATGCAGGAATTCCAGGCCGAGCTGCAGGACATACTCAGGACTCTGCAGCAGGACTCTGCAAACATCCCCGACGATGACAAGGTAGCGCCGCATTCAAGAATTTCTTTTTTTTTTTCTTTTTAAAGGCCGAAGCCGAAACAAAGTGTTGCTTATCTAGGTTTATGGCGCCAATTACGCTAGTGGCGCAAAGCTGGCCAATCAACAGTCAGGTCAATGTCCCTGTCAGGAAGCTTGATAGTGCCTTGGATGGGAAAGTCTGTTCTCTTTCAGTCTCTCGAGCTACTGATTCCACTTTTTTTCTCCCCTCCTGGCTTGTCTGGTGTCCAGCTGGATGAGGAAAAAGCCAGTGTCGAAAACCTGCTGAGACGAGGAGAAGATCTGCTTCAGCAGACGTCAGACGAGGTCCAGAGGGAAGAACTGAGGATCTTGCTGCTTCGACTCCAGAACCAGTACTCTTCACACAGGGTTCGACACGCACTCTTTTTCAGACGCCACCCTTTGTGCACTGCTGTTAATTCGTGTCTCTCTCTTTTTTTTTTTTTTAGGAGCTCAGGGTGCTGAGAAGCAGGCAGCTCGTCGTCGATTCGTCTTCCCACATGATCACGCAGCAGATAAGAGACATGCCGCCTCAGGTGAGCTTAGTTTGATCGCTTTTGATCTAGTTCAGCGTGACCCACTTGCTGTTCCGCTGTTTTTCTGAATGAAACATTAACTGGTGCAAGTGTTGGGACACAGACACTGTGTTGTAATAAAATAGAATGAAAAAGAATTACATAGGTTTTGTCAGAGGGCATCAATTAAATGGCCATTTTGCTGCCCTCACTTGAAGCAGTAAAAGACTGACAAATGGGCTCATCAGTACGGCGCTACTATAAGTTGGTCTTTGCGGAGGATAAAGAATATCAATTTCTGATTACTAGAAAAAGATTAACTCACACTACAGGGCACTATATAGTGAAGAGGGATTGATTCTAAGAGTGAGGTGAAGCCTTAATGGAACTGAAACCCTGCCAAGCCAAGTCAAATTTATGTGCCGTCCTCACAAAAGCACAACCACAAACTTTTTTCTGCTTTAAATGAGTTCACTTATTTCACGGTAGCTTCTCATGGTCTTTTTCTTTGTAGTTTTTACAGAAAAAGAATAAAAGAAAAATTTGATTCTGGCTAAAATGGTGATATCGTGACTGAGCCACAGTGACACCATCAAAATTATGGTCAAACTCCTAATTATGCAACTTTTAGGGCGTTCAGACTTCACGGTGCCGCAGTAATTGTGTTATTTGTTTGTGTGCGTGTATTGCAGGACGTCCAGTTGGTGGCGGATCGCGGCCGCGTTTCCTCGCAGAGCCCGTCAAGCTTCCTGCTGGACATCAACAAAGTGCTGTTGGCCATGGCCGACAACGAGCTGCTGCTCAACTCCTCCGAGCTCAGCGGGGGGCTCTACGAAGACTTCTCCAGCCAGGAGGACACGCTCAGGGTCCGTCCGGCTAGTTATTAATTTAAATCAAATTGAATTTTTGTGATGTGTTACATATTGGCCATGTAACATAAATGGAGCCTCTGGTGCACATGTCATTTGTGTTTTTCCTTCCTTCAGACCATCAACGAAAATCTGGAGCGGGTGGGCGAGCGTGTGGCCGAAATTCACGCGCGCCACCCGGACGTCATCCAGCACGCGTCGCCCGCTGAGGTCGCCCAGATTGAAGATTCGCTCACGCAACTCAACGCCGAATGGGACCGCCTCAACCGCATGTACAACCAGCGTAAAGGGTGAGCACGGCGGCGCCTTTCTACTCTTGGGCAGTTCAAGCCTCACCTTGATTTACTCAACATGCAAATTTCTCTTCTTCCCTACAATGGGAGTGTAATGACATTTCCTTAATTTTAAGTGGATTTAAAATGTTGTACAGACATGTCTGGTATGCACAATATTTTCTCTCCAATTTATACTTGCAATTTTTTTTTTCAAATGTGTTTACAATGTGTAAATCTACATTTGTAAAGACAAGTATTTTGTACAGGAGCTTTGACCGCGCCATCGAGGAGTGGAGGCACTTCCACTGCGACATGAATGACCTGAGCCAGTGGTTGACCGACACGGAGAGGCTGCTGTCCGACAGCGTTGGTCCCGAGGGACAGTTGGACCTGGACTCAGCACGGCGCCACCAAGAGGTCAGTAGAGGGTGCGCACACACACACACACACACACACACACACACACACACACACACACACACACACCCACCCATATACGCATGAAAAAAAGCATCTGTTCCACACTGGGGCATTCATGAAGTTAAATTAAAATGTTTAAACATATTAAAAAATGAATTAACTTAAATAACTAAATGAAAATGTGTTTCCATTTAATTGCAATTTAAAAAAAAAAGTACAATCGCGAACAGAGTCAGTGTTACAGTGGATTTCTCAAACAATCATCTTTAAATTGGTGTAAGAATTGAACAAAGAATTGGCCACTTGGAGGAAAAAAAGAATGAAAGTCTGTGAGGGAAAAAAAATTGCCTGTTATTTGTTGTTCTGTTTTTTTTTTCTTTGACTTTTTCATTTGCTTGGCTGAAAGTCTGACCATGTGGTCATTGGATGGCCATGACAGATGGAGTCATGTACAGTGTGATGAATCCTCATTTAATACGAGTTCAAAACATGATCGTTATCCCCTAGATATGCTTTTACTGTTTGAATTATTAGACGCTTGTTAGCCAGCCTTTGATAATTCAACCGCATTCCCTGTGGAGGGGTGTTGTTTGTACACTGCATCTATTAAACAAACAACTACAATCGATCCAAATTCATTATGCCCAAGAGAAGACGAGCCGGCGTCTTTGTATGGTTACTAAATCTTGAGCTACACGCCGTCTTCACAAGTTGTTTACACGCGTTTTCACAGGTTTTAAGAGCTAGTGAAGGGATTAAGCGGCACCAATTAGCAGAGAGGCAAGGGAGCCTGGGCTCAATTTTAGGATTTGGTGCTTGGCTGAAATTTATTCACGACTTGACTTGGACGTAGTGTTTATGAGACTTAGATTCGCACTGACATGAGTTTACATTTGAAAATCTGTGTGGTGTTTTTTTTTTTTGTTTGTTTGAATAGAAGAGTGAGGGGAGGATTTTTTAAATTAAAAAAGTCTTGATTTGACAACCAGCATGTGGACTGCGCTTAGGAATGGTAGGTGCTTTAGAGCGCCTCATTGTCATCCGTGAGTGCACACACATCACAAATAGACTGAGGCAGGGGCTTTGGGTTGACATGGTTTCTGTAGAGTGCCTCGTTGTCCTGATAGCTGCACAAAATAACATCAATTTCTCCTGGTTTTAGAAGTGGTATTTCATTGGCAAGTGACAGCTAAGTCGGGTCTGCTTGCAGTGCATTCAGTGAACATACCACACAGTGTTTGAGAGCAGAATGAATGGCTACAATCTTGAGGCATTACCGATGGCCAACAGATGGCAGCGTTGGATCCCTCTTGGATCAGCTCACTGTGTGTCACAACAATGTGTAAGCTCCTAAAACGTGACATGCCCTTGGATATACGACTGTTTCAAGCAAGATCAAAGCGTTTGTCACGTGAAATTTGTCACAGTTTCACAACGGAAGACATGATGGGGATTAATTCAATTTAGAAGTAGAAGCAATGATGCAATCTATGTACACACCGTCAAACACATGCATGAAACGTGCACGCACACACACTACTAAATACTACTATTAAATAACATCCAAATAGTTTGTCAAATGTAAAATTGTTCCACTGGAGAGTGAAAGTACATTATTTTGCCGTGAAAATAACATTTTCAATTTTGTGGTTGGTATTTTACAAAAGAAAAGGACTGTTCAGTTGTTTGAGGCGCCACAGAAGCAAAAATTCTCAGTTGCACAGGATGAAACAAACCCATGTTTTACTACTGATTATTAAAAAATGGCATCAAGTATCAACACACAATTTTTGTTGATGAAAGAAAATAGTTTATTTCATTTGGTAGTTTCTGTGTTTATGTCATAAAAAAAAAACAACAACACAATATTCTGTCAGCCTTGAAAGGAGCAGTCAGAATGCTTCAAATTGGCTGTCACTCAAGCCATTAATTTTCACTTTACAGGCACTAGGATCTGATTTGTAAGCCCTGTCGATTTCTCGAAATTAGTTTGGAATCTGTTTCTTCCTCTAGGAATTAGAGGAAGGACTTGCCAGCCACCAGGCCATCCTGGCCGGTCTCACCCGCACAGGAGAGCGCATCATCAGCCAGGTTTCCTCCCCTGACGGCGCTCTGCTGGAAGAGAAGCTCCACGTCCTGAGGCAGCGATGGAGGGCTGCGAAGCGCCAGGTCGCGGACCGACAGTGCAGGTATTCATAGAAACGTAGCTATTAATGGACATGAGGGTAGATGTCGATATATACTTGTACTGCCATCATTTCGTTAACTGGATTAGAAGTTTGGGATTTCCAGTGTAGTACAGTATCGAGATCAGCACTTCCTGCCTCTCTTCTTTGTTTTCTTATCGGTCGCGGTCAATTAGTTGCCAATGGTAATTTAAATGTAAATTTCGGGATTAAGTCTGCAACCTGGAGGGAACTAGAGATCCCAATCTGGGTAAATAATGTGTCTTTGCAGGCTGGCTGCAGGCGATGCTGCCCTGGGGGACCTGATGAGGCGAAGCGAGGATTTGGCTTCATGGTTGCAGCAGGCCGAGAACGTTTTTGTCACTCTTCCCATCTCCTCCACCGACCAGAACCTCAAAGAACTCAAAGTAGGCATTTACCGTATTTTCTGAAATGGTCTGGAGTGCCTTTTAAATAATAAAAAAAAAAAAAAGTCACATTTTGGCTTTGTGTTGCAAAATTTGAAGTGGAAGCAGGCTTCGATGTGTTACATCTTGAGTGACGTGAAAGGGAAAAAAACCTGTCTTTCACCCCGAGGAGCCACAAATTGGACTGATGCTTGAGGCGAGGCGGTCGACGAATTGAGCCACAGTGTTTACCTGAGCAAAAGCCACTTTACTTTTTTGTTTTTCTTCTAACTGACAAGCCTTTCAGCCCCAGGTTTTACCTTTGCCATTTGATCCGCCGAGGCCAACGTGATTAACTTTCTTTCGATCAATAGCACTTGATGACATAAACGACTCCAGTGTTTCCCCCTCAGGCCTTAGCCATGGAGATGGATGTGCAGAATGAACACCTGGTCTGGCTCAACAAACATGCCCCGCAGATCCTAGCCAGTCCCGCCGTAAACCCGCAGACCAGAGACCACCACGTGGGCAACCTCAGAGCCATCAACCTCAACTGGAGCAAGGTGGCATAAGCCGCGGGGATTAATTCATACGTCTTATGTATGCATTAAATACAGAAATAACACCCCATAATCCGTAATTGACACTACACCTTGGTAAATCAAGCAAGGTGCTGTTTCTTTGATAACCAAGAGAAGTTGCGATTTTGGAGATGTGTGGATTCCCTGCAGCGATGACAAAATATCCATCAATAAAAGTATTCTTCCCTGAACTGCTCCTCTCTTGAATCCCAACCTGCAGGTAACCCACGAGTTGTTAGACAAGGTGGGGCAGGTGGAGGCCAACCTGAAGAGTCACGCCCACTTCCGCGACAAAATGACCCGGCTCACCGACTGGGTAGTCATCACTCACCAGACCATCACAAATCGAGGCCTCAGTCCCGGCCAAGCGCAGGTACCGTAATTAGTGAACTTAATTCATTATGTGGGAGAGGTTCAGTGAAAATCGACAACACAGAGAAACCAAATGAAACAATATTTATTTATTTTGACCGTCCTGGCTGAGTCTGGCGTCAAAGCAGTTCTCGCTGCTCTGTGGGAACCGCAACATTTTTTGTTTGAGATGACTGAATGATGAGCCGTGATATAGTGATGGAGCGGCTTATTCACCAAGAGTCATCCTTTTAAAATACGTGACCCCTATCCGACTGTTTTCAGGCTTTGGAGGTCTCCATGAAAGACAGAAAGAAGGACTTGGAGGACCTTCTGGCCCACTCTATAGAGCTTCAGAGACGCCAGCAGCTTTCTCCTCATGAAAAGGTTCCCTCAGCCTAGTTGTGTGATTTATTCAATAAGCCTAAATTCACAAGCCTGTGTAATTACACCATATTGCAGCAGGTCCTTTTCTCTTCTGCAACTGATTGCAGCTTAATTGGCTGTTTTATTAAAGCGCCGTTCCTCATCTCACACACTCTCAATTGTTTCACGGCATGCGCGCGCAGAGCAAGGTGGAGCAGCTGGCGGCCGATTGGAAAGTTCTGGATGGTCGACTGAGGGAGTCTCTGCAGGCACACGTCTCCCCGTGGACGCTGCACCACACTCGGGTTGTAGAGCACCAGCAACTTGGTAAACAGCGGTCTCATTTTGAACACGTTTTACAGTGGAAATCATCTGTTCTGTTATCCGTCGCTTCCCCATTTTTTTCCCCCTGTACTTTTGTTTGCGAACCCAAAATACAAATTGAGAACATTGGCAAGGAGCTGCTGTGAGCCACAACTCACAACCAGACGCTTACATGCAGATGAATTGACCAAGCTGACTCCACTTCCTGATGTTGCCCACTAGGCATGCCCCTTGCAAGCACACATTCAGCACAGGAATACTACACGACATACAAATTATAGACTTTATAAAAAATATATATATTTTCTTTACACACTCTAATCACTTTTATTCAGCTTTTATACAATGCACAGATATTTGACTTAATTCAAATGGATTTATGGCATTAAAATGCGGATAATTGATTTAAAAAAATGTATTTTATATTTGTACTTTTTATTTAGTTCAATTATTTCAGTATTCATCTCTTCATTCTTTTTTTGTTGGATTTATTATTGACTGTGCATTCAACATTATTTTATATATTAATTTAGCCGCTGTAGAGGTTCCGCATTTTCATGAGTATGACACCCCCGGCATTATACAACACATTTGCGCTCCTTTCCCATGAATCATCAGCAGCATATGAGTAACGCAACCGTTTAGTGGGAACAAGTACTGTGGAGAAAGAGGAATGCTTTCATTTCCAGCATGAAATATGCATGCTGAAATTACAAATCAGCTGGTGAGCTACCCTCGCTGCCGAGCATCATTCATCACCATTTGACGTTTACGTTCAAGAACACCTTTTAATATTCATGCTCTCATTTTTCCTTCAATATGCATACAGTCAAACCCGGTAAATATTATTGGATATATTCCAGTCTCGCGTCTTTAAATTTTTTTTTTTAAAATAGTTTTACCACTCCCGCATTTTTGAACCACGATTAAATGTATTAAGACACACTTTTTTTTTTTAAATTGCAAATTCCTCATTTCATGCTAACGTCTGTGAAAGTTAACGGAAATGAGCAAAACAGAAAATATAAACCTTTTAATGGCTACTACTTTAATCCATTGTAGTCACAGTGTCTTCAGTGCCCTCAGCTGTCCAGATGGCCAGCCTGGCGAGCGAGGACCCCTATCACCAGACCCCACACACGCCCGACTTGGTGGCGCCCACCGACCTCAATGAAACAGCCACCGAGCTGGCGGACTGGCTGGTCCTCATCACACAAATGCTCAAGTCCAACATCGTCACGGTGGGTGACACCGAAGAGATCAGGACCACCATGGCGCGCCTTCAGGTGAGAGCAGCATTTGTTTCTAAGCACCTCTATTCACTCGCAGAACTATCGGGCTGAAAAAAAAAAATTATATAAAAATTTTTGATTCATCCTCTCAGGTGACCAAAAGTGACCTGGAGCATCGTCACCCTCAGCTGGAGGATATTTTCACCCTTGCACAGAACATCAAAAACAAGACGTCCAACCTGGATGTGCGCACGTCCATCACGGAGAAACGTGCGTGCTATTCAATTAGCATCACCCTCTCCGTTGTGTGTATATTTTTTAAAAACACATTTTCATTCTCACCATATCGCCAGTGGAGAGAGTGCGCAACCAGTGGGACAACACGCAGCACGGCGTGGTGGCGCGACTCCAGCAGCTGGACAACATGATTGGCCACAGTGACCAGTGGGAGAGTCAGCGGCGGGAAGTCCAGGCTCTGATCGGGCACAAGGAAGGATGGTTCCACAACATGCTGCAGCAGTCCCGGGAGTCCAGAGACCCTCTGACCATTCAGCTGGCTGACAGCAAGGTGATGGTTGATTAAGAGTAGACCAACAAAATCATCTCAAGAACCCATACCCGAAAAGATACAGGAAGTCTTCCATTGTAGTATAAAGCAGTCATTTTAGGGCTCATATCAGCCATTTCCTTGCCTTCCAGCATTTGTATCAACAAACTGCCAGTGAAACTGATGTTCCTCAGTAACATGAATTTTTATAGGTCTGTCTATCATGAGTAGAACCACAAAAAAATTCTCTCGAACCCATACCCAAAAAGACACAGCAAGTCTACCATATTGGCTCAAAGCTGCTGTTAGTGTCATTTCATTTTTTTTTTTTTTTTTTTTTTTTTTGCATGACCAGGGATAATCAGGCTTTAAACTACTACCAGCTTTCAACCACGCATACTGGAAAGATAGATGACGGCAAGTTGGGAAACATTTGAGTTTCCAGACAGGCGTGGGGGTGCGAGGGCTCTCTCATTTGCCGCTTGCAGCTTTAATTACCAGCACATTTCAAAGTGTGATTAAAAGTGCAAGATGGGAAATGAATCACCTCTCTGCAGTATCCTTTGGAGGCTTAATAGCATCAGCGAACCCACATCAACCATCATCCTCATGCGAGATGACAAATTGTGCCTTGTGAGAGCCTCCGACGCACTGCGTGGGATGAACACTAGGGGGCAACTGAGAGCAGCGAGGCCACAGCAAAGCTTTGTTTGGTCAAATAATGATGACTAATTGCAGTCAAGACAACACAAATGTTATTTAAATGAACTGACTGTTGTTATTTTTAGCAAAGGATGCATCAGCATCCCGCCTCTGTCAGCGCTTGATCATATTTCCTGATGTTTATGTCGACGCAGGCTTTTTTGCTCGAGTTGAGTCGAGGCCAAGCTGCGGTGGCGGCCTTCAACGAGCTGTCCGGTCATCTTTTGCGCGAGTACTCCGCCGACGACACCCGGCGGGTGAAAGAAGTCACTGATGCGCATAACGCCGCCTGGAACAACCTCAACAACAGGTGCCCAGCATTTTTTTTAAGCCTTTTCATCCATGAATAATGACAACGATGTGGTTATATTACTCTTCAGGCCTCACATATTTTTACAAGCTGTTAAACACGTTGCAGGACAACTCTACGGTGGGGCACTCTTCAAATGCTTGTTTTATTCTACATGAATGACACTGCACGTCAGTCACTGCAGTGGACGCGTGAACCATTCCATCCAAGGCCTCTACTACTCTCGTATTTTCACTTGCGAATCTGGTCATGGAACAAATTAAACTTGTATCCCAAAAGCACTGTTGTCGTAGGAAAGGACAAAGACATTTATTGCCTTCGTTCTGTGCAGGGCCAATGACCGCCACGGGCAGCTGGACGACGAACTGAAAGGCCTGCAGGTGTCCCTCAGGGAGCTGGAAGCCTTCCTCAAGTGGCTCCAGGAGGCCGAGACCACCGTCAACGTGCTGGCCGACGCCTCCCAGAGGGAGGACTTGTCACAGGACTCCGTCCGCGTCAAAGAGCTCAGACGACAGCTGGAGGTAGGAATCTGTGTCGAGATGCTGTGTGTGCGTGCGTGTATGTTTTTCTTTGTTTGTCAGTACCACAGGTGGGAGCTATTATCTCAATGTCGTCCCGCATTAGTGCCGAGGTGAATCCACGTGTGTCAATGAGAGGGCATGTTGAGGGGTGTCTGAACACGTGTGCACATTGAGTTCAGCTCATTGCTTCCTGGATATGTTTAATTTTGCGTGTGTTCCTGTGACCCCCATTTAATGCTATTTGACTGTATCGTTAACGGAGATGTTAGATTCACTTTGATCCTTATCCTCTGTAAAGAATGGTATCAGTGATGAGCTCAGAATTCTGCTGCGATATCTCAATTAATCACATCTTGGACTGATGCAGCGTGACAAAACCGATTAACCCAAAAAAACAAAACAAAACACATTCTTGTACTGAATCATTCCACTCTGAAAAGAGTTCTACTAAATCATTCAACGCTCCCGAATTAGTATCACATCCATGCCTACGACGCATGAGTAAACGCCTCGGCACAATTGTCTCCAGCAAAAAGCAAGACTTGCTCCGCACCCCTGGGGCGCCCTGACATATCGCCTTAATTAAAGCCACGTCGCCTCTGTTTCTATCTCTGCCGCGCTTGAGATTGATGGATGGCATTCAAGTGTGAAAAGTCATTTGCGGAAATCGGAAACTACTGTGAGCTGAGGAAAACGTCATTATATGCACAATTTTGTTTTTTAAACGGTCCATCTTTTTCCTTTTTGACCACAGGCTTTTCTTGTAACGCACAAAATCATACATATACACACAATCATATATATATATAATAAGTGAGGCAACAAAACGGGCTGTTGTAATTCCTGAGAAGTCAATATTGTGCTTTGACTATAATGGCTTCTGTGGCACAATAAAGCTTCTCTAAACACTCTTCTTCCCCAAAGCTTAGCATAATCCCCCGACCACTGCCTGTGTGTGTGTGTGATAATGACTAAAGCAGCCTCTGTTGGTGTCAAATATTTGTCTTGACCTCACCGAATGTGAATGGCTACACTGGAAATGTATGTGGACTAGTATCCTCTTTGTCCTCATAATGACAACTTTGGTATGCAATAGCATGTCTCTTCTTGAAATATGTTCATTTACAGTTTATTATCTTCCAACTACGATGTAACATTTCACCTTATTTTTCGGAATTTATTGCATATTGTATTGATATTTGTATTCAGTGTGATATTTTGAGATTTCCTTGCAATATGCGACTTTATTTTCATAATTTACAACTTCTTGCAACATTACGACTTTCGAGTATTTTCATAACGATGTGACTTTGAGTAATTTATGACAGTGCTTTTTTTTTTTTTTTTTTTGGAATATATTACATTTCTCAAAGGGTACTTTTGTGTTTCACGTGGGGCGCGCTCTGACGGCACCAGGCAGAAATCCCCACGGGGACTTTGGCTTCCTGGAAGCTCCCTGTAACTCCTCCTCCTCCTTGGAGCGCGTGTTGACAATCACGTGTGTTATTACTCCGCCGCCTTCCCCATTGATGTAGCCAGTGCACAAAGGAGGCGCTACCTGCCGCCCCTCCTCGCTCCATCTCACAGCTGTCCTCTTCTCTCAAACGGGATCGCTTGAAGAGCGGAGTGGCTCGTCGTCTTGTCCTGCTCGGCACTTTTCAAAAAAATTCTATCCTTCTTCTTCTTCTTCTTCTTCTTCGTCACAGCCAATTTGCAAATGTGGTTGTGGAGGAGATAGTGAGTCTGGTCCGTCGCGCGATGAAAAAGACGAGCCATGCTTAGAGCTCAGTGCGAGTGAGTAAGCGAGCGAGGGAGTGAGCGGGGCACGTGCGTGCGCATCGCGTCGGCTCAGCTCAGGTCCAGCAGGCTTCCAAGAGAGACGGCGGACGCGGGGCGCCATGAGTGGGCTAGGGCAGTGATAGCATGCGGACCGGCGCCGGGCTGCTGCAGACTTGTGGCAGTTCTAAAATGATGGCCATGGTCCGGACCTCCCTCCAGAAAGTGGTGGTCTTCCTACACAGACTCCAGAGGATGGCGATCTCCTCGCCGCGCTATCAAAAACTCTGCAAGGTACGTGCGCGGGTGAGCGCAGCGCGAGGAGAGCACGGAGAGTTTATTTATTTATTCATGTATTTCTTTTGGTGGGAAAGTCATTTGAACTTTGCGTCGTCGTCATCATCTCCGTGGTGTGTGAAATTCTCGTCCTGGTTTTCAGGATCTCAACTCCGTGACATGCTTCCTCTTTCATCTGAGTTTTCTCGACCCCGGCGTGCTGTTTTGTCGGAAGGTGTTGGTTTGAGTCAGTTGAGGATGATTTTCTTGATAATTGCAACTACTTTGCTTGTGCTATTGCTTCTTTTTCTTGTCATTGAAGACTTGATTTTTGTGGTATTCCACATTTTCTTTATTTTTTTAATTGACATAATTGTGACTTTATCCTGTAATTCATGACTTTATTCTCATATTCGACATTTTTGTCTGAATATGATCTGTTCTTCAGAATATAATATATTTTCATTATCTTGTAACTTTTTTCCTTGGCTTGATTATCAAATGACTCCACATTTAAAAAAAATATATATTTTGAGGGTTTTTTGTTGTATTTTTGTTGATCATTAAGTTAATTTCCTTGAAGCGGGAACCTTTTATTTATTTATTTATTTTTTGCTAAAATGATCAACACAGATATTGTATGTAATTAAAAGACAAAAAAAAAAACATTTTGATTTTGCTTTGGTACTTTTTAGTGCATCAGTCAGGACTGAAATTGTGACCAGAACCTTTTCTTGACACAAGTATCTTTGCTTTACTACTTCAGCACAGGGTGTGTGTACTTTTGCATGCCTGCTCTAAAGTGAGGAAGGCCAAAATGGCACATTTCAGAGCTTTCCTGTGAGCAAAAGGCTAGCGTACGGTGACGTAATGCGCCACAGCTGGTTGTCATCGGGGTCCTTTTCATCACGGAGGATTTGGCCAATGTGGACGGGGGGGAAACAAATGCATCACAACGGTTTGTGATGGCTTGCCAGCTTCAATCACAGCAACATGTGACAGTCCAGCCTAAGCCAGTCCTAATCCATAAATCCATCACTCCTCAGCACGCCAACATGGGACTGTTTGCTTTGCGCTTGATTTTTTTGGGGGGGCATGTGGACTGTTGAGCGTTAACATTCGCCCTTTTAGTTTTGTCGTATTATTCTTACTAATACTGTACGAATGGTAGCGCTGGGCAATGAATTGAAATGTCATTGTGATTTAGATTTAGACTTCTCACGATCCTCCAAAAAAAAAAAAAAAAAAAAACTCAAAAACATCGAACATTTTTTTTGTAGTTGAGTTTTGATAGTTTTTGAGATCGGTGAATCATCGTTTCGTGACTTCACTATCATTCCAAATAATCGTGAGGAGCAAATACACATTGTCTTTGAACCAGATACCCAAAGGGACGATTTCCTGACCGTGAAGAGCCATCAATCGTTGACACTCACTTAGCGCCCAATGGGTTGCGTGAGGTGCTTCGCCCTCTCCTCATGCCGGACATGTCGCTGCCCTCCCGGAGGGCTGTCGCTCGCTAGCCTCCGGGTTGGACCGTTGCCTTCCGCTTGATGGATTTGATCACGGCCGAGCCTCCTGGGCCGGGGTGAAAGTTTCTGTTGATGTCTCAGTCGCAATGGTGTTTTGTCAGAGCCTGTAGTTTTTTTCTGCAACCATTTAGCTGGTTCACTAGCGTAACTAAAGAATCGTTTATCACAGTGCACCCCAGATATAGTCATCGTTCACCGTTTTTAATGTTTGTCGTTTTCACAGAGCAGAGAATATTTGCCTATTAGTATTATTGTATGCACTCTTTCTATGTGCTGCTGCTCCATATCAGTTGTTTGAAGGTTTATAATTGTACCGGAACATCTGTGCTAATGTCTGTTATCCTGTTTAAGACTTATGTTGCACTGTATATAAGCATTTGGTGAGACGCAACTATATGGTTTAGTTGGACATTTTGGCATACAGCTTGAAGCAAGCACTCTGGGCTTCTTATTTGGAGAACTGTGCAAGCGAGCAAAGTGAGCAGATGCCCAGGAATTACCTGTTAATGTTTTATTTGACACCTTTAAATGTGTTTAAAACCTGTGGAAAGGGTAAAACCTTTTTTTAATGGCGTTTGATCCCGAAAGGCTGTTGGATTAGCGGCGCAAACAGCCCAGTAGGCAAAAGTGGCTTTCGATCGCCCTTCCAAAGTTGTGCTTTGACAGGGGGGGGGGGGACGACAGCATACGCAGTCGGAGCTGGCAGAGTAATGAGAGTAGCAGGGCACTCCTCATGGGGATGTGAGGGGGGGAGTAGATGTGAGTGAGGGAGGTGGACCCTCCAGCCAATTTTCAACAACATGGCGATGATCAAACACACGCGGAGCTAAAACAAGCCATCGGGATCTTGCGGTGGACAAGCCAGGCGTGCCGCTCTTCAAGTCTTTTATCAATCAACTCCCGCTGACATAAACACAGAGATATGGCCACTGGCAGGTGGAATGGAGGCTTTTGGGGATTTCACGACTTGCAAGAAGACATACATTAAGCTAAATGTCATTAGTTGCACAAAGTAGCAAGTCCATAAAGCTTGGTCTGTTTGTATGCATTTTTCTCCCTCCACCCCCTACACACGCTTATTGAGCCACTAATGCCTCTGTGCGTTTTTAACATGGATTTGTGTTGTGCGCTCCCTCGTTCCATTAGCCGCTCTCCGGCCGGATGCAACGGCAAGCCAGACTCGCTAAGGCCCGTGTGCTTTATCGCCCGGCGCACTTTACGATGCCGCAAAGTGAACAAGCACGCAGACAAGCCTCTGGGCGGAATGAGGCAGCAATTTTGTTGCACGGAACAACACTTTTGACAGGGAATAACTCAGGGAGACGCGCTGTACGACAACTTGACGGCAACTTCGATTTCGACAGTGGGGTTTTTTTTTTTTTTTTTTTTTTGCAGTACAGGAACTATTTCCAAGTT